CGACTAGAGGCCGGTGACTGATGTGCCTCACCCGGGAAGAGCGCAATGATAATACCAACATGGGCCAGTGAAGCTACGTCCTCCACAACTAGACTGAAGAACAAAAGGACAGCAACTTATCTGTTCCCCTTCCCCCTATTCCCCAGCGCTGTTTCCCTCCCCCAATTCCCCAATAAAATCTTTAAAAAAAAAAAAGAGACGAGAAGTTTATTTTTCCTTTGGATAGAGGCAATTAGCAAACAGATGGCCACCCCAATAACCAGGTGAATCTAGAATGAATGATGCATGACAAATGGTCCTGTCAAGTTCTGGTACCTGGTGGGCCGTAGCTGCTGGTCTATAGGAAAAGGGAAGAAGCAGGTTGCCTGCGATGCTCATGGCATTATTATGTATTCAGTAGGTCACTGTTTTCCTTCTCTCCTTCTGTGGAGACATTCGCTCCGTTGGGAGGAGATTTTGTTTTAAATTCTATTTCCCCAGCAATTCCCACACTTCCCTAAACAGAGTACATGGCAATGCCCTACCCAGGACCTACAGGAGGAGGGAGGTCTCAGAGTGCGTGTGTGTTTGGGGGGGCGGGGGTGTAATTTTCGGGCCCTGCCAAGGTCAGATCCTGCACTGGGTGTCACCTGGAAGAAAAAGACTCTACCCTGGATGGGGGGGGGCAGCCTCAGCAGCTGGCCCAGGGTCCCCCAGCCTGCTCCCCTCAGGGGGCTCTCTGCCCTGGATAATATAGGGAAGGGTCATGAGGACATTTTTTTTTCTTTGTTGTTTTTTTTTTGTACAAAAGATGGAACTAGGAGATTGGATTCCAAGCCTGCTGCCTACGTGCTCCAAGACACAGAACCTAGGCAGACATTAATCAGTCACACAGAACAGACCATCCGAAGCCTTTTGAGCAAAGAGATTCCATCTGTAAAGACCATTCCTGTAATTAAACTTCTTACAAACTAGCCACAGGCTGTACCTTCCAAAAGTTAAGAGATAAACCTGCCCCTTTTCATCTTGTATGCCCCTTGCTGCTTTTCTCCTTTTCCTCATACCAAGAAATTTTCCATAGGAAAAAAAAAAAACCACACATATGAACTCTACCCCCAAGGGCAGAAGGGGTCTCTCTTCCATTAGTGATTAGAGACCACCACTCCGTCTGTGGTGTGGCTTTTCTTACTCTCCGCTAAATAAACTGACTTTCACGTTAAGCTCTCTGTGGGCTCAGGTTTGAATTCTTTCCTACATGAAGCCAAGACCCTTCTTGGTCCCGGGCTTGAGTTCCCTCTCCTGGGGATTCGCCCCGCTGGCATCCCGGGTTCACCTTGCTCTCTTTCATGCTTTCATTATTAAACTCCTTTTTTGTTTCCCTTCAGGGTAGAACTATTCAGCAGTTCTTTTCCACTTTGCATAGAAAGCCCGCCTCTAATAGATGCACCGTGGAGGTTCTAGAAAATTCCCTTTCTCTCTGTCTGCCAGCCCCCCCCTTTGTTCCCACAGGGAGCCTCATTCATCTGGACCCCATTCGTGACAATTTTTTTCATCACTTTTCTAGGCAAAGACTCAAGTATGTTCTTTGCTTTTTCTGAAGACAGATTATGTCAAGTCAATTCATTAACGAATTTGCTGGGAAGCATTTAATTGAGTTGAGAGCAGATATTCTTTCTGAGCGCGTAATGACATCTTTGCATCCTGGCTTGTTGTTAGATGCTACTTCTCTTTCTCCTTCATCCTCTCGCCCCACCGCTAGCTGAGAAGCCAGCAAAGCACAGGCTCCCCAACACCTGGTCTCTGCCCCAGTCAGGCTGGGCCCTCAGTTGCCTGAGGGCATGGCCTGGAGGGGCCATTTGGTTCCAGCCTCGGGGGTCTAATTCTCTACACTGGCTGTGCTTTATCACCTGGCAGCTATAAAAACATTTATGCTAATGTGTAAATCTCGCCCCCAGAGTTTCTGCCTTACTTGATCTGTGGCAGTGCCCAGGGCAGCTGTCGGGTCTTAAAAAAGCCCAGGTGATTCTAAGGTGAGTGGAAGCCTCCACCTCTTCTGTCAGGCCCCTCCCTGTGAGTTCTGAAGCCTCGCTGGGGGTCAGGGCTGAGCGGCAGCGCAGCACAGGTCACACCTTTTCTACCGGGCTGCTCATTAAACATCTGGGGAGCTTTAAAAAAACACTGATGCCTGGCACCATGGCTAGCAATTCTGATTTTATTAGTCTGGGGCGAGACCTGGGCACCTCTGGTGTCCAGCCAGGGTGAGAACCACCTGATTAGGGGAAAGCCCTGACTTTTCAGTCAGATTGACCAGGACTAGAATCAGGGCTCTGCTGGGTGACTTGGAGCAGGTTACTGCTCTGAGCCTCAACTTTATTTCCAACATTGGAATGGTGTTACCCACCTTGCAGGGTTGACTGCAGTCAAAACGCATGAGGACTTCCTCCACCCTCCCTGCGCGGCATGGGTGGGTTCAACATCTCAATCACTCTCCCCTGTGCATATTTATTATTAATAATTCACTGTGCAACCAATAAAAATTCAGTTTTTGTCAATAAAAAGGTGCTGCTTTAGGGGACGAGGAAAAGAGGATGCCAGGGCCTACCTGTCCCGCCACTCTTTGGGAAGTGTCATAACAGCGGCCCCTTATCTTGTGAAACCCCATTTCAGGGCTCTGACACTTTTGATTCATAGTTCAGTTAATTAAATCCTCCCTGAAGCTCACTTAGGGGAGCTCTTTGCATGCATACTAGATCTCATTGTAAAGAAACATTCTTTTCTGGTAGGAATAATCGCATTTGTATCGTATCACACTATAAATTCGTAGCAACTTGCCTCAGGAAATGAGCCTCAAACTGAAATTCCATCACATTGGGTCTTAGCCTATTTGCTCAACTGAATTTCAGATTGAGGTTCTGAAAAAGGGGGTTGAAAATGCTGCTGCAACTGAGGAGGGTGTGGGATCCCATAGCTGGTGCCCTGATGCCATAATGCAGGCAGAAGGATGCGAATTCACAGCTGCAGGGTGGTACCCAGAGGCATGGAAAGGACCTCCTTTTCCCCAGCATGCCCCGCTGTCAAACATTCTCACCCTGTTTTTTGCATTGTGTTCTGCCAGGTCGAGAGAAGGATGAAGATAAAACAGATGGGGACTCGGCCCGCCTGCCCTCATGTAGACCATGATCTGGAAGTTCAAGTAAGTCGTGCATGTAACTAACTAGACACATGGTGGAATCAAGATCCAGTGGTTGTCAGGGAGGGCTTGCTAGAGGACATGGCGTTTTGACTGTGCTTTGAGGAGGCACAGAGTCTATAGGTAATGGAGAAGGCAATGCTTTCGTCCCAGTGGCAAGGATGCCAAGGAGCCCAGGATGTGAATGAAGGGGTTTGAGTGGAGGGGGCCTCAAGGGAAGCTGTGGAAAGCAGATGGGAAAGCCAGGAAGACAGACGGTTCCTGGGGGTCTTGGATTGCTTCAGGCTAGAGGTGAAATCGCTGGTGGAAAGGGGTGGCGTATTAAGGCCTTTGGTGTATATTGCTCAAGCAGCCGCTGGAAAGGATGCTTCACGTTGCAGGCACTGTGCAGGCAGTAAGATGCCAGCAGCCTTGACCTGAAAATGTGGAATGAGGAAGCACGGGAGTTTTGCATTGGGAAGGGGGAGGGGGGGGTTGTCATGTCAGTTCAACAGATATTTACTCGTCACTGGGTTGGGTGTGGGGGTGCCAAGGTGAACAGACACTTTCCTGCCCTTGGGGTACCCCGTCTGGTGGACAGACAGCCCACAATCCAGCACCGTGGGTAAACCTGGGCTCCCTGAAAGCTCCAAGCAGGTTTTTGAGTTACAAAGAGTCTGTTCTTTCTTCCTCTTTGAGGCACCCCACTCACCTCCGAGGAGGTGTTTACGTGGTTCCACCAGTTCTCCCCAGGTTACCCGGCTCTCCAAGGAACAGCTAAATGTCCCGGTTACACATCAACTCACTCCACTTTCTGCCACAGTCCCTGTCACAGCCCCTGTCCTTCAAGATTGAGGGAATTTCCAAGGTGCTTGGTGGCATCTGTCCAGCTCCCTCCAAGTGGTATAACTGGGCCTTCTCAGGCCCACAGGCAGGAAAGCTGGCACTGGGGGGGTGGGGGGGTCTTATCTAGGGCGCCTTTGCAGTAGGCATCCAGGCCTTAAATATGCTTTTAGAAGTGATCCTAAGGATATAAGCATAAATATTTGCAGACTTATCTACAAGATTATGTGTAAGAACATTGTTTATGAGAAGAAAATGATCTAAATTTTCAACCATAGGGATTGGTTAAATAATTTATGGCATGATCATACGATTCCGGCATCATAAATTACATCATGGAAGAATATTTGATGACATGAAAAGAAAGTTGAAGACAATTGAAAATGCCATATTGCAAAATAGTAAGTGCTGTTGGATCCTATTTCTGATAGAAAAAAAAAATATATATATACACATATTCTGTATATATAAAAAAAAAATATATATATATATACACATAGAGACACAGGAAGAGACAAAAGTTGTGCATAAAAAAATAAGTGATTCTATTAAATAAAGCATTAGTGATTTCAGGGTAGTGGCATTATAAGAAATTTAAATTATCCTCTTTGGATTTTTATTTTTTTTACAAGAAATGTTGGTTACCTGTATAGTCAGAATAAAAAATGCTCTATTTTTTTAAAGTGATATCTGAGACATACCTGGGCAGGAGCTGGGTGCTGGGAGCAGGCCTGGACCTGGAAGGTCCTGCAGAGCTCCTGGGGGCTGGGGCATGCTGCTCAGACATCAAGGAAGCCGCACCGCAACCCCACTTACACAACGTGCCGCCGTGAAATGCCCTTGGTGGCCTCCGCTCAGCCCTGAGCATACAGATCTTCGCATTCCTCAGCCCCATTACAGGCCATGATGGGACAAGCCAGGATTCGGGTCGTACGGGTACATAACAACAGGACAAGTGGCTTTTCTGCTTTCTGTGTTCCACTCAGCTGAGGAGGCCCATTTGAACTCCTTCCCTCCCCGACTACTCAGCCCACACAGACCAGGCACCTTCTTCTGGGAGCCTTCCAGACTAACCCATCATGCATTGCGCCCTGAATGCCTTTGCTCTAATTAATAATTAACACTGGTCGAGTGGCTACCGAGTGCTCTACTTGTAATAACCTAAATTATCCTTACTGTGAGGTGGTACAGTAATACTGTCGTTACAAATGAGGAAACTGAGGCAGAGAGCGCGTAAGCAACTTACACAAAATCACACACTCATAAATGGCAGAGCAGGGATTCAAACCCAGGCGGCGTGGCCCCAAGGCCAAACCTCAGAGACACCATGCCATACATACAGCCTCCCTGGCAGACCGTTCGTTGATGTCACAGTCATGTTTCCGTGGTGATTTTGTTGTTCCCCAGAGTTTTCCTGGAAGACTATGAATTCCTCGAGAGCGTGAGTTGTGCCTTTCACTTCCATGGTGCCACACAGCACTGGGAATACAGCATGTCCTGGGCACCTGAGGCCCCCCCTTCTTTATTCCTCTAGCTGCAGGAAACATGGGTGTATCCTGTTGTGAGGTGTGTCTACAGGTGATTATAGCAAGTCTGGTAAAGCGCCTCTGTTATGGACAGGCATTGGGCAGGAGACTCTGGGAGCCTCGGGATGTTAGATCTCAGCCTTCTGTAGGATCGAAGGCTTCTTGCTGCTTCTCCACATCTTCCCAAAGACCTGCTCAGCCCCCAGGGACCTGGGGAGGGCCCAGCTCCACAAAGGATCGTGGCTCAAGTCCTTCCAGTCCCAACAGGAAGGGAGATTAGAGGAGAAATGAGCAGGCAGCCCAGAGGGTGAGCCTGTTGGTGTTAACCTCTGGGCTGTCATTTCTTTGTTACAGGTTTCCAGGCTAGACTCCCAATTCCGGATCTAAGAGGCTGTTACCAAGTCCGGGCAAAGCAGCACCACCATGTTGACAGGGGTTATCTCAGTGTAGTAGAATTAGAGATGACTTGCTTTGTGGCTTTGCTTCTTTGCATTTTCTAATTTTCTGCAGTGAACACGCTAGTTGGGCAATTGAATAATTAAACGGAGGGCAAGTCACTGTTCTTGCTCTATCTTCCCAGGGCCCCTTCCCCAGCCTTCTGTAGGCTGCTAAGCTCTAAGCTGCTCTCTATTTTGTGTGGCTTTCCCGGAGCTCTTTCTGACCTTACCACCAGCACATCTTCATCCCCACTTTCTTCTTTAACACCCTCCACTGCACACTAATCTACCCCAAACCTTGCACATTACACAGCATTTTACAGGCCTGAGCCTGCTGGCTCCCACAGCCCTGATTTCATGAGACGTCATCTTTCTTGTCTTGGAAAATGATGCCTGGAACCACATCTCTATCCTCGGCCCCTCACCTGGACTTCAACCCCAATTCACTGCTGGACGATATAACTGGAAACAACCATATTGACAACAAGCACCTGAGTCCCACCTTGCTCCCTCCTTTCCACATCCAGTCACCTCCCAGTTTTTTTATCTTAGCCAGCAGCACCACCATTGAGTTCTAGGCGGGGAAGTTTATGGAACTATGACTGCTTTTTCCTCCTAGGGTCAGTCATTCAGTTAACAGGGCAGGTATTCTTTTCTTCAAAATGCCTCCTGGGTATTTCCTTCCTTTGTCTCTCCACTAGCCCCTCACTCATGCTCCTGAACCATTGCTGAGGTCCAGGACTAATTTTTGCTTTCGCATTTCCAGGATCTAGTGTTGTGCCAGCACATAATATGTCCTCATTGTATGCTTCCTGGTTCAATGAATGAGTGAACACATGGGTGAAAAAACAACCTTTTACAATTTGTCTCCTCGATTTTAGTTTTTTCTCTGCAGTCCTCCCTATATTTCTCTGCCAGCTGAATATCCCAAAATGGTGATTTGACCATGCGAATCCCCTCTGGTGACTTTAAATGGTTCTTACTTTCTGTCAAAATCCTTCAAACACCCACCCTCTTTACTTTACCTTGTAAAGAATTTGTTCTCTTGCTCCCTGAGGACCCCACCGCCAGCTCACCTGGCCCCTCCGAACCCTCCCATGGACCTTGTCTAGGATACTCTGTCCTGTGGCCCTGCCCAGTCACCCCATGCTCTTCTCTGCCTGACCACTTCGCCTCCTGTGTTGCTGCTTACTGGCTGGTGCTTACTATTGACTATTTTTTTTCATGAGTTCAGTGTGGTGTCCTCTCCTATGATGGACCAATTGCAGTAACAGCTCTGATCTGTTCATGCCTCTCTTTATTATAATTTCCTCCCACAGTGACTCTGGGCTTGGCCATGTGACTTACTTTGATCAATGGGAAAACAGCAAACATGCGCTGGCAGAGACTTGAAAAGGACTTGCACATTGGGAACCCAGCAACTGTCACCATATGACCTAACCAGGGCTAGCCCAGTTACCCTCATCAGCTGACAGCCAGTCACCCACCAGACAGAGCAAGGCCACAGGCCCCCCACAGACCTCCAGCTAACTGCAACACTGAAGGAGCCCCGCCAACACTAGCAGAAGAACCAGCCAGCTGAACCCAGCCCAAACTGTGCACCCACAGAATTATGAGCTCAATAAATGGTTGTTGCTTTAAGCCACTAAGTTTTGGGGATAGCTTGTCATGTGTTCACTAAATCTGTAGTGTGTCTATTGACTGGAGGAATCGTGCTATGAAGACCACCTTTTTTTTTAATTTACTTTTTTAACTAGTTTCAGGTGTACAAAATAATGTAATAGACATTTACACCCCTCACAAAGTGATAACTCCCCTCCCCCAATCTACTACTCCTCTGACATCGTATATAGCTGTTACAATTCCACTGACCCTATTCCCTATGCTATACTCCACATCCCAAGACTATATACACACACACACACACACACACACACACACACACACACACATATATATATATTAAATTATAGTTGACATTCAGTATTATTCAGGTGTACAGTGCAGTGGTCAGGCATCTACACCATCCATGCAGTGGTGTCCCTAAGAAGACATGTGCCCATCTGACACCCTACAAAATCTTTACAACATTATTGATTATATTCCCCGAACTATCTTTTGTATCCCTGTGGCAATATTGTAGTTATCTATTTATGCTGTCTAATCCCTTCCCCTTCTCCCTCATCCCCGCCCCCCTCTCATCTAGCAACCCTCAGTT